ACCAACCTAAAGTGTACAGTGTAGACCAGGGGTTGGCAAACTTTTTGGTCTGAGGGCCACATCGGGCTTCTGAAACTGTATGGAGGGCCGGGTAGGGAAGGCTGTGCCTCCCCAAAGAGCCTGGCCCCCACCCCCTATCTGCCCCCTCCCACTTCCCGCCCACTGACTGCCCCCCTCAGAACTCCCGACCCATCCAACCCTCCCTGCTCCCTGTCCCCTGATTACCCCAACCCCTATCCACACTCCCACCCCCTGACAGGCCCCCCGAGCCTCCCACGCCTATCCAACCACCCCCTGCTCCCTGACTGCCCCTTACCCAACCCCCTCCCACTCCTTGCCCCCTTACCATGCTGCTCAGAGCACCAGGACTGGCAGCCATGCCGCCTGGCCAGAGCCAGCCCTGCCGCTGTGCTGCCCGGCAGCAGCTCACAGCTCCGCCCCCCAGAGCACTGGCGGCACGGCAAGCTGAGGCTGCGGGGGAGGGGGGACAGCAGGGGAGGGGCCGGGGGCGAGCCTCCCCAGCTGGGAGCTCAAGGGCAGGGCAAGGTGGGCCGTAGTTTGCCCACCTCTGGTGTAGACACAACTGTGACACTGCATCCCATATTCTTCAGAGAGATATTATGATAGGATTATGGCATAAGTATGGTGTATTTATACAAGATAGGTCATGTGAGATCATTGAAAAGGTTATGATTTACTGAATATGATTATCCTATTTGTATGCATGGATCATTTTTGTATCTGAAGTTAGGAATATTGACTGTGTATCTGTATTACAAATATGCTTACACCTGGGGAATGCCCACTAAGCGGAATACAGGTTAGAGGAATTTCTAGTCTGTAAAAGGAATGTATACCTGGGGTTTTAAGCTGCAAGCAAGTTCAGCTTGCCCCGCTCTGCAACCAGCTTAAATCATCATTAAGGGGTGAGAATTTGCTACTCATGTCCACTTTCTTTAGTATATTAAACTTAGATTGCACTTCTGTTTATTTGCTAGGTAATCTGCTATGATCTGTTTGCCATCCCTTATAATCACTTAAAATCCATCTTTTGTAGTTAACAAATTTGTTTTTAGTTTATCATAAACCAGTGTGTAGGAGTTATACAACCGCTTTCTGCCCCAAGTTATATTTCCTCTCCACATTGAGGGAGGGGATGAATTTCATGAGCTTATGCTGTACAGATCTCTGTGCAGGGCAAAACGGTATAATTTTGGGTTTACACTCCGGGGGGGGGGGGGGGAGGGGGGCACTTGAGTAGCTGGGCAGATCCTTAGTTGAAGCTTGCTCATGCAGAGCTGATCTCAGCATCTGTATGTAGCTGTAGCTGGGTGTATCCCTACCTGTATGTGTGCTGGAGAGGGGTTGAGGGCCTGTCACAGCAGTACAGCGTAAAGGGAGCTCAGGCTGGTGGGTCAGGCAGGCTCAGTGGTAATTCAGTTCCAGGTGGCACCCTGGGGGGAACCCATCACAACAATGTTTACCTGTTCATGAACTATATGTAAAACATGGAGAAAGGGAGAGGCTGGCTCTGTGACCACTCTAACAAAGAGGAACTGAAGAACAGCTATGGGGTGGGAGCAGGGGGGTTTATTCCCTTTATGATATGCTGGGCTCAAGAAAGTTATGCAATGCACCCCTGAACTGCCAACTGCCATTGACAGAGGTTCTGTGGCCACCTGGCTAGGCACATTGCTCCAATGGGGACTCTGGAGGCGGTGTCACGCAGAACAGATATAACCCACCTTCACTTGGGGCTCTCCCAGCTGTAGGTTTCCCTCTCATCTTTTGTCACACCCCAAGGACCCCCTCCCTCAGGGGGGGTGGTCTCTTGGGGAGGCAGATCAGCATTGTATGATGCTAATGCTGTTGCAGGCATTGCAAAGTATTCTGGAAAGGGTTAAAGGTGTGCGTGTGGAGTGAAAGATTTCTTTGCAGGTTGCGAGAGGCCGAAGAGGGAGGGAAAGAGCAGAGAATGGGCTAACGCAACACTTCAGCTAGGTCTGAAGATAAGACGCTGACTCCAGCCCAAGGCCACAACACACAACCGACTCTCTGCTGTCTGCCAAGAAAGACAGGGGCCTGGATTCCAACCCCGACCAGCTGTGAGAAACGAGGATTCAGCTGAACAGAACTGTAGGGGCTGCGAAAATGAGTGAGATGGCGAAGACCAGCGAGGGGAAAAACAGTCTCGCATCCCTGAAGCCGGTGCGTTTTGGGAAAGCTGAGGATGCTGCAGAAAGCCAGTTTGGACTGGTACAAAGAGCAAGGGGGACAGAGGTCCCTGAACAAAACGCCCCTGAGACTTAAAACCCTCCTGAGAGCTGAAGCAAATTGGAGATCAACAGGGGACCCTGGATGACCTGTGCACAGGACAGAACTCCCATCCACCTCTCTCCCCCCCCGCCTGCCTTCTTTGTACATTACACCCAGGTTTAGCCAGCCCCAGGTAGTGCGTGTGAGAGTATGAAAGTGGGTTAAGGCTTGGGGCATTAACACTTTCTTCCTTCCTCTGAGGGATGTGGGGAACCCCCAGCACTCACTGCTGTTATTTTATTAATAAAGCTTTAAAAAACTTAGACCCTTGGTGTGCTCCTTCATCTCCTCCCCTAATGATCCTGCCGCCTCAGCCTGATCACCTGACGCCTCAGGCAGATTGGTAACAGAAATCTGTCACACTTTGACAGGGATGAGAAGGCTGCCCATATAGAGCCATTTTATGTAATGACATCATCATCCATCTAGAAAGAAACCAAGAGAAGCAGAAGCTTTGTCCTACTTGAAGGGTATCAGATACAAAGGATTCTTTTACCAGCTATTATCCGGGA